GAAAATTGATTTTATGAGTTTTTTATAAAAAAGAATTAAATTTGTGTGAGAAAATAATTTAAACAAATAAATAAATAAATAAATAAAAGAGAATATATAAAAGAAAAGAAAAAAGGAATTGGGCCTGGTATACTAGCAATTGAGGGGGGTGCCCATCTGACTTTCAAGCCCAATAAGCCTTGGCCCAAAGTTGACTTCTCAGATTCCATGTTGCAAGTTGACCAGGGTGCATCATGGACCTCCAAATAACGGGCGTTAGATCTGGCCTTCTGGAAATCTAGTGATTGATTGTTGAGGGCACATGGTGAACCCCTTACCTATACACACGCCTGATTATACAAGAAAAAATGTTATGAAATAATATGGGGGACCTGGGATTCGAACCCAGGCCCTTTAGCCTTTTCCACACACCTCCTTACCAACTCTGCTAGCGCACTTGTTTGTATATGAAATAACAACAATTGATAATATGTGATAACGTGAGTTAGTGGAGGAAAATAGCAAAAAGTGCATGCCAGTTTAAATGGACTAACCAAGGGGTGCCACGCCACCCTTCTTCTTCCTCTCTCCGTTGGTAAAAGTCCAAGACTTTTACCTACAGACAAAAGTCTGTAGCTATAGCCCCTGTGATTTCCAGAATCTCATACACGCACCATAAATGAAAACTAATGGTACAGGCCAATTCGTCTTGGCCTTGTGAACACCATGGTACCTCTCTTTTAGGCCAATTTCACCTACATAAGAAAAATCTAAAACGAACCAAGAAAACCTAACAATGGTGGATCTATGTATGGTTAGCAAACATGCAATTAATTGTTACCATTATCTTGCAATTGCTTCAAGGATTCAGAATATATAAACCAATCATGCTAACAATGTCAAATTCATGAGATTCGATTTCAAAAAGGGAAGGATGTCGTGAGGCACTTACATTGCGTTTATGGGCACGAAAATGCATGTTGGTGATTGGGATAGACTCCTTGAACACCCAGGAAGCGAATGAGATAGCTTGGAAGGCTTGAAATATCCTGGAACTATGAAATCAGATTGCCACTTTTTCTTGATTTTTTGAAAGTTCTCCTTCTCTTTTAACGCCTCCAACCCTTGTGCATTTGGTCTGAATTTGTTCTATATATGTCCTTGAGTGAATTAGGTTTACAAGTTTGCATCCAATCTTTGCAATTATGAAGATTTGATCCTTGATTCATACTTGTATCCAATCTTTCCAAAACAAGAAAGAATCAATCTTTTTGTGTACAAACATGCCTTGCACGATTTGATCTCATTTCCAGCTATTCATGGACCTGAAATGTTCACAAAATCTCAAGGTTTAAATGATTTTGATATTCTCATGATTTTATTTTGATTTAATTTGATTTAAATGAAATAAAAATAAAAATAAATGAAAAAAAATAAAATAAAGGAAATTGGGAAGGATCATGAGTCGTGGACCATGTTACAAACTCAATACAAGCACAAAAAGTTGGGCCCATTTGACAAAAATTGCAATTTGAGGCATATTTGACTTTGGCAATTTTGCAAAAAAGGGTCAACTTTGCCAATGCATAACTCCCTCAATTTTGACCCTAGAGAGGTGTTCTTGGACTTTTTAGAAATCTTAAGATGTCCTCTAAGAAACCCTTTTGTTATCATCTCAATTGAGTCTTCCATGTTCATGTATGAAGCTTTGACATGAAAGGTATATTTGTTGACTTTTCAAAATGACCTATAATGTCCAAATTCATAACTTTTTGTGAGTGCATATTTTGATCTTGGGAGATGAAGATGAATTGTATGGAATTTCATCCTCTTCAAAATGAGATTCGGATGGGTCATTTATAATAAAGTATGAGAAAGTTATGCTTGGTCAAAGTTGGGTTGACTTTTCCTACAAAACCCTAATTTAGCAACTTTGGGTTTTGATGAATTGTGAGAAATCCTTGATGAATCATGATCAACCCTTGATAAAATGATGAATAATACTTAAAAATGAGGATGTTGACCAAAAATCTTGAGGTTTGACTGTATGGGGGCCATAGTTGACTTTTACCCTAGCATAGTCGATTTTTAGGCCTTTGAGCAATTGACTGAGCAAACTTTCTCTGTAAGGCTTGAAACTTGACATGGATGATCTTAAGAACATATTAGGACAATGGTGAGAATTTTTTAACCCTTGGGCTCAAGTTTCTTGATGCAACATGAAACCCTAATTTGAGGTAGACTGCCTTAGGAGAGAGTTTGTCTGGCCAACCCTTGGACTTCCTTGAGCAATTTGAGGATCTCAATTGAAATGTTTTGAGAAATATGGGAGGGAAAATTTTGGGGTGCAACAATAAGATATCTTTTACGGATTGGATTCCTCTATCGTTTTACGTATGCAATTTACCAATTAATTTCTGCATAACCATGTAGCCATTCAAATCTCCACATACTTTTAACAACAACATGTATGTCTACATGATACTTTCATGGTTTTAATAGGTTCGTTGAATCTATAATGTCTTAATCGATTAAACAATCTGATTGTATGAAAATCAAGTGTTTGGTGCAGATATTTAACCTAATTCTATGTCTAGCAATTAGTGTTTAATTGATTCTTTATCTTTGATTCGTGATTTCGAAAGTAATTCTAATTAACAATTCGAATTCATAAGATTCAACAATAATATCAAGATAGAATCAATAATCATGAAAACATGCTTATATTAAAAGTATAATCGGTAAATATACATACGATTACGGTAGATTCTTCCAATCCCAGCAAGAGAAGGAGTTTAGCTAGCCATTGTCATGGTAACTTGTACAAAAAGGAAGAATTGGAGATGAATGAGCATCAAAGATGATTCATCGGTGTTTTGATGTGTATCCATATCGATTCTTCGATTACCTCCTCGAAATATCTATTACAACTGAATTGAACAGAAGTTCTTAACTATTATAAACTATATTCAAAATATGAGATGATGATCCTTTGCATTGCACTTGGTCCTTTTTTTTAGCAGTTCTTCCCGCCTGAGTTTGCTATCCTTTCTTCTCTACTAAGTTTTTGAATTGTCAAACCGCCTTGCAGAAACCGCCAACTTTTGATATGCGACAAATAGTTTGCTCATCGAACTTTCCTTTGCTTGCTTCTCGCTTCTAGTGAATCTAGAGTGTTTTTGTTCTATCTTGGTTTCACTAAGCTAAATAAGTTTGCTTAGCGACTCGGGCCTTCGCTTCTCTTCGCTACTAGCTAACATGTTTTGCTTTTGAGTTGAGGTCGCTTAGCGAAATATAGTTTGCTTAACGAAGTAGGACATGCTTTATTTTCTTTTTTCCTCCCTTTGCTTTATCCCTGCAATAATCAACCACATACCATTAGAAGTATCAATTTCTTGACAAAGTTTGAATTTTTCATGAATAAGTGTTTCATTACTTTGATAAATGTTATCTTTTATAAGTAAATGTATTTAATTTTTAGGCACTTATCAAATACGACCCAACTTGAATTCTTGTTTGTCCTTAATCAAGATCATATTTTCAAAATGAGTTTCTTTAATTGCACAATTCTGGTTTCTTGTGATAACATGGTTAAAACGGAAGATGCTTATTGCAAATGGTCTTTGTTCTTTTTACTTTGATAGAATCAAATCATGATTATGAAATAATGTGTTTCTATGCAAAGATCTCTTTATGCAAACAATATAGTAAACAATATCTCGTTCTTTAAATTATCCTATCCCTCATCTTCATAAAAACGATGAAGATTTCTTTGAAGTTTTTTGGTGTTAAATTGACCTCTCATTAATAACCTTGTTAACATCTTGATTGATTCATATTTCCACCTTGACAATTTTGTTTTTGAACATTTTTGTGAGCAGAAATCTTTAAGGGCTTTGATTGTGGTTATAGCTTGGACAAGTTTTATAGGTATGATTGATCCTAAGGCTATTTGGCTAAAATAATTTATCCATAAAGTCTTCCCTTTTTGTTTGTTCTATTCTTTCCTCTTTATTTTCTTTTCTTTTGTCAATTGTTTAGTGAGGCTATGTCATTTTATTTTTCAAACTTTTCTTTCTTTTCTTTTTTGCTCATTATTTTTCTCTTTTCTTGTTAATTTTCATAGCCTCTCCCAACTTATGATTTTCATTCTTCCTTTTCATAATTGTATCGTTCAAAGAAATTTTCTCCAAGCTCATTTTGTTTTGGTTTTCCAAAAAGTGTGAATGGATCATTTGATATTCACGTATCACATTTTCAATAAGTGGTTGTCATAGTGTATTTAGTGTTTGATCCATTTATTTTCTTTATCCAGCTCAATGTGGTTTTTGCAAATACTCACTCATGTCACATGATATAATGAGGCTTTTTGGTTTGAGTGGTTTTTCTTATGAGGAACAAATTGCCTTGATCATCTTTATGCTTTTCAAAAAAACTCAAAAAGAATTGTTAAGGTTCCATATGAATCAATCGAGTTTCAATCAAGGATCATTATCTCATGAACTCTTTTTAGTACACAATGGAAGGTTTCTCACTTTTCTATTTTTCGGCTATATAATTCAATCAAGAAGATATGTGTTTGTAAAATTGAAGCATGAAAGGATTTTGCAAGAACCACATATTTCAAAATCATTCTATAATTCTACAAAGATTCATAAAACATGTACCTTTTCCTTGTACATTTTGTCCGAATTTTATCATTACCACTCATGTTTGTTGAATTTGTGAAAACAGATTTTTGATTTATCGACAATTTTGAACTTTTGATGAGGATAACAAGAATTTGAAATTCTTGGCATAACAATACATATAATGACATTAGCAAATTTTAAGACAAACATACAACATACTAACCGTTTAAAAAAAGTACCAAATCAAGCAAGATTACAACATATCATACCGTCAAAGTATTAAAAAATAAGTGCGGAAAATAAACTGAAACTGAAAAGTGCTAAAAACTGAAACTGAAAGCTTTAAAATATCACTCATTTTATGGAGAGCTTTCGGTTTCGGCCTCCTCTTTATTCTTCTCTCATATTTTCATCATCACTGGCTTCAGATTCCATTTTAGAACCACCAGAAGTTCCTTCTTCATTATCTGGTTCAGCCTCCTCTTCTTCTTCATTTTCGTCTCCATGACCAGCTACCTTCCTCTGGTTGAATGCCGTGTCCCTAGGCCATGCAATGTGGCTTTGAAACACCTCCGGAGTCATCATTTGGTGGGCTGTATCGCGATGCAAATCTGGCTGGATTTACAACATGTAAATAGCATCATGTAAAGACACAACAACTCTATGGGTAGAATCATTTTGATCCCAAGTGTAAGTAAAATCTTGGCGGAGTCTCGGATCCCAATCATCGTAGTTCAAGTTTCTGATGAAGTTTGCCCCATCTGCCCTCTTTTATTTTTCTTTTCCAAGCAATATCTATCCACATATGTGTTATTAACCTTGGTTTTGATCTTAAAGTGTACCACATTTGGAATTCGCACACGTGAAGCAATGAGTAATCCTATGATGAGATCGCGAAACACAAGAGGACAAGTGGTTTTGGTTCCTGCCCCAAACTCCTTACCAATTTCTGCAACATTTCTCATTTCATTAGCAATGATTTGAGCAACATCAATTCTCTTTCCTTCCATGATCAAATAAAAGAGTTGATATGTATCCAATGTGAATGTGGAGGTGTGGCTTCTGGGCCTGATGTTGTGTAAAATGATTAGGAGAAAAACTTGATCTTCCAGGAGTAAATCCTCCCTATGAAACTTAATTGCCACACCATAAGAATTTATTTCCACTCTTCGCCCATTCAAAAGAAATCACTTAGAAATCACCTCGACATCTGGCACAGTATTGATGGATTCTTGATATCGGCACATCTGTCCTTCCTTCAAGACTAGAGGATTTCCCAAATATTCACTAATGGCATACCTATTAAATTGAATTGTCCTCCCTTCAACCTTGGTTGAGAAGGAGAATCCAGTTTCAGTAGAGGGAAAGACATTGGCAAAGAATTCTCGAAGAACATCAATATTTATATTGCGGTGTGGGCTCAGGAGCGTATCCCATTTGTGTTTGGCCCACTGGGCACTTAAGGACCTGTAGTATCCTTCAAAGTTGATCTAAAAAATTCTCTCAGACCAGATGCTCCTTCCAATTAGCTCATTATACCTATCCCGTTGTTCAGGTTCGAGAAATTTTGTTCGGCCAAACGGCTCTTGCACTCTTGAAGATTCAGCCTCTGTGGTTTTCTGCTTCTTTGAGGTAACAACTATTTTTAGGGCCATGCCTGAAAAAATATAAACAACAAATAATTATTCTGTTAGCAAGCTGATTTTTCTGTATCAGGGCAAGTTTGCTTAGTGAACTTAAGTTCACTTAGCGAACTCTATGATTTTTGAAAAAAATATGGTTGACAGATTTCTGGTTTCTGATTCTTTCCTCTTTTCTTTAAACCAAAATTTTGATGTACTGAAACTTGTTTTTTTTTAATACATTTCAAATTATGTGCATATCATGAACATGTAAAAACATAAAGTATGCTATGGAATATAATAGTTAAACTAATTTCAACCATAGATGCACAATAATCTGACTTTCCACACTATAGTTTCAGCAAATATTCATAAGAAAGTTGTTATAATAACATTATGTAAGAGTTACATAAAAGTTATACTAAAAGAGCGTGAAAAAGAATAGAAGTATAACAAGTAAAAGATGATGATGTGTCGTAACCGGCAAAAAATAAGAGAGTCGTCACCATTAAATTTTGTCCTAAGGACAGGGAAATAACGGGTAACCCTAATTCGTACAGAGATTATAAATTCGTGAGTCGGTTAGACGAATGGAAGGTGTTAGGCACCCTCTATCTCCTTTGTTCTCAAGGGGCTCCACTTTTTGGTCGTAGGGTAAATCGAGAATTTCTACTCAAAGGTTATTGTTTCCATATGTTTAAGAAAAGGGTTTAATTTTTTAATAGCGGGACTCTCCTTGGTTTTAACCTCGTGCCTACGTATCTCCTTGCGAAGAATTAAAGTCTAATTTCGTAGTTCGTAATGTTTGGTTGGTGTTTTTTATAGGATTGCGTAAAATTGTTTTTGAGTTATCTTTGAACCTTGTCTAGGTTTTGTAAAATAGTGATCGTAGACGTAGTTCACAGTTAATTTTGAAAGCGATACTATTTAATCCTTTTTTAGAAAATAATCTTGGTTTTTTATTATGTTAGTAGAAAATGGTTTGAATTGTTGGTTAGCTGATTTAGATTAATTTTGGATCATCGACGAAAGTCGGGTCTTCATCCGAATTAAGTCGCTCTAGACAAAGTAATTGATTCGATTGAGTCTTGATAAAGAATCTTGATCTTTATCAAAATTAATTCGCTCGAGGCGAAGAAATTTGACTTGTTCATTTATCGCTTTGAAAGATAGCGTTTGATTATTGCTCTAGACATAAACCAAATTTCGCATGAATTTAAATTGTTTGATTTTGAATAATTACTTAGTAAACGTTAAGTCGACCACTTAATTACTCGAGGATATACATCCTATTACTTATAAAAACACTAGTGCAGAAATGACTTTTTAGATCGGGTAAAATTGACTTTTTACATTGGTTTTGGGTCCGATGTAAAGTCAGGTGATATAGTAAATCAGGGACTTTTTACATCGGTTCTGGGACCGATGTAAAAAGTCCCTTTTTTACATCGGTTATAATATCAGAACCGATGTAATAACCTGTTATTATGCACATTTTTTAAAAAATTGATCCAGTTTTTTACATTGGTTGGAAGTAATACCCGATGTAAAAAGTACATTTTTTACATCGATTATAATATATGAACCGATGTAAAAAACAATTATTATGCACATTTTTTTAAAAAATTGATCCAGTTTTTTACATCGGTTGGAAGTAATACCTGATGTAAAAAGTCCCCAGTGACGCGACTTTTTACATCGGTTATTATCTCCAACCGATGTAAAAAGTCCCTTTTTGAAAGTTTTTACATCAGTTTTACTAATAACCGATGTAAAATGTATGAAATTTTTTTGGAATAGATTATTTATTTTCTGGGTTTCCCTATACAAATATAATTTGTACCCATTTTTTCATATTTTTCCAATATCAAACAGACTATATTTATGTCGCTATATAGATTTCATAGCTTTCCAACATCACATATATCACATTTAGGACGATGTTTTCATATTTTTCACAACAAACTTACAAATTGAACAATTGTATTGCAAACTTGTATTGTATTACAACATACAAACTTACAATTACAAATTCTTCACAAAATATAAAACAATATTCAACTATTTATAAGTCTTTTTCAAAACTTACAATTACATAATATTCACAAAATATACATATACTAAAATATTCAACTATTTCTAAGTTTCCAAACTTGAATTACCAATATAAAATCTTCGGTAGACAACACCAAAATCATATTGCCTGACAATAAATAATAACAATTAACATCAGCAAAAAAATCAAGAAACTCAACACATGAGCAAAAACCACATGTATTGTGCAAAAACCACAACTTATACAATTCTATAAAACTCACCAAGCTAAACTTAAGTTCCATGTAAGTCAAAGAAACATTTTGCCCAACGAAGTCGCAAATCATACAAATCATCTGGTGTTAATTCTGTTGGGTCATCAAATACCTATAATACATAAATATAACAATATAGAGTTATTTTTTAAAAATTCATATTAAGTCGAAAAACAAAAAGTAAAGAACAAAGTAAAGTTATTTTTAGTACCTGCATCCAATTCTCGGTTATATTAGCAGAGACAATATCCAACATATTTTTCATCACATAGTATTCACAATCATTAGAGTTATGTTGTTGCCTTGTCTACAATTGAATGACATAATTAGTGAATATTTATCGTATATATTTAACTATAGAATTACAATTTACATCACACTTACATTGGGATGAAGCCATGTAGCCTTTTTTCTATTTCTATTTGCCATTTGATGAATCCCAAAAGAACTAATACAGAAAGATATAAACATCACATAACTAAATATACTCGCCAATGAAAAATCACATAACTATTAGTTGTCAATGAAAGTCACATGAAAGATAAACTTACTTTGTAATAATTTTCTTCGTGTTCTGGTCAATTTCCCGATGAAGTGAACAAAATACGACAACTAAATTGTCTCTTGGACACATGACTATTAATTGCCAATGTCTCCTGTACGTGTGTGTGGAAACAGAAAAGTCGCATAAAATATATATGTTATCAAAATTAAATAATATAAAACACAATTTCATAAAAATTCTTACCCATGAATTAATGGTAGTAAGTGGCACGCTCTGTTTTCATCACGTAACTTTTCTAGCACGTAATTTTTAACATCTTGAGATTTCGCTACATTATCATTATAAATACACCTAGCAGGGTCCATAAATCCATATAATTCTGAAATGGAATTCTCAAGACAAACACGATGAATATACCTGAATAATTTTAAAATTAACATTAGAATCAAAGTGATGAGAGATATAACATATTAATAGAGATTGACTTTAATAAAACAATAAAATGTACTTACGTGCACCAAATTTGAAGAATAGACACGTCAAGCCAATGACCTAAATCCACCAATAACTCTCTGATACATTTAGCTGAAACATAAAAATTAGAGACACTCGCACAATGACTTAATTGTATTGCCAAATGGTTATCATCCAATTTCAAAACCATGAGTAACAATCTCTGAACATCATCAACTTCCACGTCTTTTGTGCTCTCTTTTGTGCTTCCCTTTGCAGCTGAACAACTTCCTTTTCCGCTTCCATCAATAATTTCCAATTTTTGAATGCATTTAATATCACCTGTGCTTTGTGATAAACCCATAGACTTAAGTGTCTCCATTAATGATTGCTGAAACATCTTACGCTCTTCAACCAACTTTTCTTCAAGTTCAGCTCTAAGTTTTGTTTCCAATATTGCAAGTTGTTCATTTACGTCGATATGTTGACTTTTTCTTCCAAAGTAAGTGCTTTGTTTATGGTGTTTTCCAACACCACGAACACGACCTCCATGCTCAGATGTTCCAATGGCTAATGATAAGATATCGTTACGTCCATCTGGAACAATTGCACCTTTTTCAGCTTCTTTAACAAGAGAATCCTACAAAATGCAAAAACATCAATTAATCAATCACAAATATAATGATACTTTGTAATAATTTTTCGTTGTTTACTTACAATTTTTTCAGCAACCTCTTGTGTAGATTTTGATGTGTATTCTCCTCCTTTCTTTTGCCGTGCTCTCTTCCATAACTCATGGCGTGATGGTGGAGATGGACTATCATTATCATCTAATGTGGAATTATCTCTCGATGATGACTTTTCTTTCATAATTTTCTCCTCAAGTAAGCGATACCCTCCACGAGACAATACGTGTGGGTATACATTTTTGGCCACATTGTCCTTACCCTTCTGACTTTTTTCCTATTATAAACTCAAACAAGTAATTAATCACTAAATATAATAAAAATGATATGCACACAAAAAAATATAACTCCTACTAACCTTAAATTCAGGGGTATCTCGAATCTTGAGAAACTCTTTCCAGGCGTCTTCTGTAATAAAGTTATACTTGACATATGGAGGAGGATCATTTTCTATGGGATGATGAATATATCTATCTGTGAGTTGTGTCTTAAAACCTCTCCATCGCTCTCCCGCATATTTAATCCATTCTTTCTTCAACCTATCATTCTTTGGATCTTTACATTCTGGAATAGTAAAATGAGCCTACAAATGTAGTATATGTCATATGTTGTTAATTAGTATATGATTATAAAATATAATAAAGTATTGTATTTAAAATACCTGAATATCAGTCCAAATAGCATCTTTTACGCCTTCATCTACTTCTTTCCAATCATTTTTCACAATGCTACAATACTGTCGAGCAAGAGATGCTATATAACTCTTGAAATTTGTAGCATTTTTACCAACACCAATACATTCATAGGTTCTTGCATTAAACTCGACCTTTATCTTTTCACCTGTTTGATGAACTTTGTCAATTTGTGTCATTAAAGTGGGACCTCTAACTCTTCTTTTATTGGGGTTTGAATCACCCATGTATCTGTTTACACAAAACAAAAATAATTAGAAATAATATTAAGCACAAAATAAAAACAATTAGAAATAAAATTAAGCACAAAATAAAAACAATTAGAAAATAAAGTAACGTGCAATTAACTTATACAAAAAATCTTACTAGTCCTCCCATATCCCTTCTTCATGGTCTATGCGAATAGCATGCACATCATCCCCTTCATTTTCTTCAATGAATGTAGTCACATTTGTTGAGAAAGGATGAGTTTAAGAAATATCAAGGTTCTCATCATGATTTTCGTCACTATCATGGACCTTTCCTTGTAAAACCACAGACCACTTTTTATTAGAAGGATCTGTGACATAAAACACTTGTTTTGCTTGAGATGCCATGATGAATGGTTCGTTCGCATAAGCTAACTTGCTAAGATCAACCAGTGTAACTCCAAATTCATCGATTCTGACACCACTGTTGATATCAATCCATTTGCATTTAAATACAGGAACTTTAAACACAACATAATTAACTTCCCAAATCTCTTCAATCACCCCAAAGTACGGTGTAGACGCCATAACCGGGTTTTTATCTTTAGCACTAGAGAAGTGCATGGACTCGGCCACAATCATTACCCCACTATTTTGCGTGGTACTACGGTCATCCTTTGACTTTGTATAAAAAGAGGTTTTATTAATATCATATCCACTCCAAGTTATTAGGTTACATTTAGGCCCATAAGACAACCACTTAATTGTATTAGAAACACTATCTTCATTAGCAATTCTTTCTTTAAACCACTCAGAGAAACTCTTATTATGCTCTTTTAACAACCCTCTTTCATTCATCTTGGGGTACTTTTTCTTTACGATGCTTTTGTGAGCAGATAAGTAAGGTTGAACTTCATCTATGTTATTCAATATATACAAATGTGCTTGAACAACCACATCAATACTTAAGCTCTTGACTTTTAAACCTTGTGTACCCACACCCTCATATCTTCCATCATGACGAGACTTGGGAACCCCTACAACATCCACTCCTGACAAATAGTTAGAACAAAACTCAATTGCTTCTTCTGCAATGTACCTCTCAATAATCGATGCTTCTGGACAGTGTGGGTTTTTTGTATACCCTTTTAGAATCTTCATGTATCGCTCTATTGGATACATCCACCGTAAAAAAACTGGACCACATAATCTAATCTCCCTTACTAGATGAACAATCAAGTGAACCATAATGTCAAAAAATGAAGGAGGAAAATACATCTCTAATTGGCACAAGATAACTGCAGCCTCATTTTCCAAATCGTCTAACTTTAGTGGATCAATGGTTTTACAACAAATTGCATTGAAAAATAAGCATAACCTAGTTATGGTCTTCCTTACGTTGTTAGGCAATATCCCACGAATAGCCAATGGTAGTAGTTGTTGCATTAAGACATGACAATCGTGAGATTTTAAGCCAACTAATTTAAAATCTTTAACTGATACAAGCCTCTTGACATTTGATGAGTAACCATGCGGCACTTTGATACTTTGTAAACACTCACAAAAACTTGTTTTCTCTTTTTTAGACAAAGTGTAGCAGGCAGGAGGCAAATATGTCTTGTTACCTATATATTGTGGGGTTAACTCTTCTCGTATACCCATCAAACCCAAATCCAGACGAGAATTAATACCATCTTTTGTCTTGCCTTGAATGTTGAGAAGTGTTCCGATTACACTATCGCATACATTTTTCTCCACATGCATCACATCAATACAATGTCTTACATCAAGACTAGACCAATATGGAAGATCGAAGAAAATCGATCTCTTTTTCCATACATTTTTCACAGTAGATCGTTTTTGGTACTTTCCAAAGATAACATCAAGTCCCTGTTGTCGCTGATAAACTTCCTCTCCAGACAAGGGCTTTGGAGCAACACCATGCTCTTGTTCCCCATTAAAAGCTTTCCGCAATCTACGATATGGATGATAACGTTTTAGAAATTTTTGATTCCCGAGATAAACGGTCTTCTTTCCTTTTTCAAGCTGATGGTAACAAGTGTCTTTTTCACATATAGGACACGCATTATGCCCTTTAACTTTATACCCAGACAAATTACCATATGCCGGAAAATCATTGATGGTGCAAAACAACATGGCACGCATATTAAATTGTTCGCCAGAATACGCATCAAAAACATCCACCCCTTCCTCCCACAACACTCTTAAATCATCAATCAGTGGACTTAGATAAACGTCTATGTCATTTCCTGGTTGTTTTGGGCCCGATATCATCATCGATAACATAATATATTTACGCTTCATGCACAGCCTAGGAGATAGGTTGTAAATCATCAAGAGAACAGGCCAAGAACTATGGTTAGTACTAAGATTACCGAACGGATTCATTCCATCAGTAGCAAGTCCAAGTCTAAGGTTTCTCGACTCTTTGCCAACATTTGGAAACAAAGTATCTATTTTCTTCCATTGCAAAGAATCAGCTACATGACGAATTTGTCCAGCATGTTTTCTTTCTTCTGCATGCCATCTAAGATTCTTTGCGTCATCTGCATTGGCGAATAATCTCTTGAACCTTGAAATTATTGGTAGGTACCATACCACTTTCGCAGGAGGACCCTTTTTTACCACCTCATCATCAATTGACTCACCATCTTTCTTTTTGTAGCGTGAAGCCTTACACTTTGGACAATGATTATACTTTTCATACTATTTTCTGTATAATATGCAATCATTAGGGCATGCATGTATCTTTTCATACTCCAAACCCATCGGACACAATATTTTCTTCGCCTCGTAATAACGACTTGGCATTACATTACCTTCTGGAAGCATTTCGGTCAACAATTCAAGCAACTCGGTAAAACTTTTGTCAGTCCACCCATTCTTTGCCTTCAGATTAAATAATTTTAACACGGCTGACAGACGTGTAAATTTTTTGCATCCCGGGCACAATGGTTTATCCTTGTCATTGCATATAGTATCATACGTATGTTCCCTCTTAAACGAATCTTGTCCAATATCATGCATCATGTCTTCTAGACGATCATCCATTTCTTCACTAACATCATCTCTTTGAGACACGTTAGACTTTGCTACTACTTCACCGTGCCATATCCATTTTGTATAACTTTGACAAATCCCTACACAAATTAGATGATCCATGATTTCTTTCTTACTACGTTTTGGTTCTTTATTTGCACAACGAATACATGGACAAAGAAAAACCGTAGGAAGACTTTTGTCAGCATTACTTTCAGCAAACTGTAGAAATTCCATCACTCCATGTTCGTACTCGTCACTTAATCGATTAGCTCTCATCCAACTACGATCCATAACTATGTTCACACGGAGGAAGGTCTGACGAACGGTGTGTCCGCGGCTGCGCTACTTCACGAAGATTCCGAGATTGCAAGTTGCGCTGCTTCGCGGAGAAAGAAAAATAGAATCAAATTTCAATGGCAAGGTGATAACTCTATTAAGTTTGATAGGTTAAATATAAACAACGTGTTTCTGAGAGGACCATTAATTCTTTTAGCACAATTGATTACATGTTATTTTTTATTACAGAAGAACACCTTTAAGAAACTACTTTAATTAGTGTTGTGTTCATCCACATATATAGTTAATTTACTCTTGAGTAACAATTGAGTGGAATGAATACTTATTTACATGTAAATTTTGTTGGAGAACATATATGTATCTGCATTTTAGGATAGCATTATTCTGCACTAAAAATCATATTTTCTCTTTATTTTCTTTTGTTTTAATTAAAATAATTAAACATTTTTAATTAAAATAATTAAAAATCATTAACTTTTGTTCTTAATTAAAACCATGTTTGTGTATGAAATTGAGACTTAACCTTTGTTTACTGATTTTATTACACAGGAGCTACTAAAGTCACTTAAAAATGTGGTGATGCATCCCTATATATCACCTATATGCAACTTCTTATTTTCTTACACTATTATGTATCTATCAAATGGTATTACATTGTTAATGGCCTATATAGTTATTATATTAGATTTTTTCTAAACAAAAATAATATATTAACACTAACAACTTTATCATTTAAATAAAATATTATATCTATACTACTAATATTAGATACTCCCTTCCACTATTTCTCGCATTAAAACCCTTACTAACCCACAAAAAATCCAACAAAACAGATTAACAAAATAAAAAACATAACCAGAACAACAACAACATAGTACTTAGAATTTTTTTCGATCAGAACAATCAACAAAAATTTCTCTCTTACAGTTGAAACTCAAAGAGGAATAATGCTAATAATTCATTTTTTAAACAAAAATTTGCACTTACAGTTGAAACGGCGAGCGAAGAGTTGTGAAGGTGAGCCGTTGACGGTGGGCGTCGGAGGAGAGACGACGAAGTGGGACGGTCGTTGACGGCGACGACGGTGGGCGTAGGAGGGAGACGGCGTCGCGGCAGCGGTGGGCGTAGGAGGGAGACGGCGTCGCGGCAGCGGTGTGCGTCGGAGGAGAGAAGTCGAAGAGGGACGGTCGTTGACGGCGACGACGGTGGGTCGGAGGAGGAGAGACGGCGAAATGGCGTGGTGGTGGGCGAAAATCTGGTCGCGGCGAAAATGGGTCAGAAAAAATGGGTAGAGAAAAAGAAGAAGACTGTACAGTTCTCAAGTTATTATTTTTGTTTTTATTACCTTTATTACATCGGTGGATACTTCACCCGATGTAATAGCTTGCCACGTTTGTGCTATTACATCGGTGGATATTCCACCCGATGTAATAGCTTGCCACGCCTTTATTTTTTTTTTGTTTTTATTACTTTATTACATCGGTGGATATCCCACCCGATGTAATAGCTTGTCACGCCTTTATTATTTTTTTTTTTATTACTTTATTACATCGGTGGATATTCCACCCGATGTAATAGCTTGCCACGCCTTTATTTTTTATTTTTTTTTTTTATTACTTTATTACATCGGTGGATATTCCACCCGATGTAATAGCTTGCCACGCCTTTATTTTTTTTTTGTTTTTATTACTTTATTACATCGGTGGATATTCCACCCGATGTAATAGCTTGCCACGCCTTTATTTTTTTTTTATTACTTTATTACATCGGTGGATATTCCAACCGATGTAATAGCTTGTGTTGACACGCGTTGGTTTTTTCTCCTTTTTTTAATATATCTTTTATATCTTTTATTACTTTATTACATCGGTGGATATTCCAACCGATGTAATAGCTTTCTTATATTTTTTAAACGTTTTAGACACGTTGTCTCTTATATACAAAAATGCCACCGTGTTTTTTTTGTAAATCTTTTACATCGATGGATGAGATTGCCCGATGTAATAGGTGACGAAAAAAAAATTTTCCTTATTTTTTATATCATTGTAATTAAATACCTGATGTAAAAAGTTTGTTAACTGTATTTTTTACATCACATATTTTGATACCGGATGTAAAAACTTTTTCTGAAATGTCTTTTTTTTAGTAGTGAAATATTTAATTAATTTGATTTTTTTATGAGCTTATGGAAAAAAAATTATTTTTTAGTATTTTTGATTATTTGTGACCTAAACTAGCTCAAATTAAAGGAAGTCTAATTAAATCCTAAATTGATCTAATTTCTAATTACTAACTTAAATAAAATTAAAAAGTTTAAATAAGAAACAAATTAAATAATTCACAATAAAATAAAATAAAAAATAAACGAGTAAGAGTAAATAAAAACAAAAGTAAGTAATCGGAATTGAAAATAAAACTAAAATGAAAATAAGAAAGAATGGTGCATATGGTATTCGACCAAATTAAATCTAATAGTCTAAGATAAATAAATAGTAACTAACATAAAATAAGAGGAAAAAAATATAACCAAGGCAAAAAAAAAAAAAAAAAAAACTAGATCAAGTATGCTATGTTACATGTAGCAGTCTCTTAGTTTCCTATCTGCTATGCTAATATATAATAACCAATTAAACTAATACTCAATTTTCTATTATATTAAACTAGTATCCAATTTTCTATCCCACAACAAATTGATATATTTACACTTTTTATCAACACATCAATGTATTAACAAGCAGAGCAAATGAAAACACAAAAACAAATAGAAACGTAGAAAATGAAAACATGGACTAACCGCAACGGTGGTGACACACGAACCGTGATGGCGATGACTATGGATCCGATGACGGAGGCAGTTGCGATTCCGGAGATGGAGGCGGTGGCTGCGGTGCTGTTGGGATGAGTGGTTGTCGGCATCGGTTCGCGGAGCGGATTTGTCGGAGGTGTCGTCGACTGTCTGTGAGTTAGGACTTGGTGCTTGAATATCGATAAAACGGTATCTGGGCAACATACAGAGATAGCAACACAAAAAGAGTTATAGATGACCGATGAGAGTAGTTTTTGTGGCGATAGCGTTAGATCCGCATAAGGAGAATAACCATCATTGCCTTTGATTCTTCTCTCTCTGTTTTCTTCCCTTTTCTTGAATTTGGTTTTGAGCATGATATTGTCAATGTTGAAAAATTTGCTAGGCCTGGATGTTAGTGATTATGACTTCGATTTAGAGTGAACAATATATATAGTGTTGGTGAATTTTGCACGTGTGATATTGTTGTACTTCAAAATTTGTCTTATCATTTTCACATAAAACATACTCTTAGAGGTCCTCATCGAGATGTTCTTAGAATAAAGTTTGTTTCTAATCAATATCTTAGAGTTTTGATGATAACAATGAAATAAATATTCTGAAATATATTTTATACTCTGATGTGTACGTTCTCTATATTCAGATAATGTTCTGACTTATGCATATCAAAAGTGAAGCACTCCAAGGCAAACTCTGATGGAAAAACAATCCTAAGCATTCTCTGATAACGTTAGCTGAAGCGAAGATATAAAAGGAGCACGCTGAAAGCAACATCTGATAATGCAAGCTGAAGCAAACTCTGATGAACATAAAGTGAAGAATACTCTGATAGAAGAATAGTTAAAGTAAACTCTGAAGTGGCAACGCTGCAAGCAAACTCTTAAACTTCCAAAGACAAGTTCTGACAGTACCGTTGGCCATTGAATGCTAAGACGGCTAACGCACTCAAGTGGTACTACGCACGAGAATTTTAAAAACATAAAGACCAAGCCAACACGCTTCATTAATGCAAACACTCTCTTCAAGGCAGTAACGGTCAAGATTGAAAGCTATATATAGAAGATCATTTATTTTAAAGAAAAGTTATTGATCCACGAGAAACATACTAACGCTCATTGCTTTCATTCTTGTAAACTAATACTGTATAATGGGTAAATCTTATGTTTTGGGCAACAATCTTAGTGATAAATCACAGTTTGTGATAAAGTTTATTAGAAGCATTCTGTTTCACTACTATTAAGAGTTAATTTTTGTAAGTGTTCCTTGAGAGACCAGTTGGGTCAGATTTCTTAAGAGGGCTAGGACTAGTTGAGTCTTAGAGGTGTTAGTCACTTGCAGTTGGCTTGTGCATTGTATTGTTAGTCATAAAATTTTGGTTGTGCAATTGTAATCAGTTTGATTATAGTGGATTAAGTCCTCGTTGAGAGAGGCGAAATCACCTTGGCGGATGGACTGGAGTAGTTTAAGTTTCAAACGAACCAGGATAAAAATATTCGTGTCCTTCTATTAGTATTGCGCGTGAAAAAGGAAAAACTTATTCAACCCCCATTCTAAGTGTTTTCTCATCCTTCATTTGGCATTAGAGCTCTAGTTCTGGATGCAAACACCTAATAGTGTCAGAAAAAGATCCAGAAGGAAAACACTATGGCAACTGAACAAAACAACAACTGCACCAAATCTCCTGTGTTTGATGGAGAAGACTTTGAATACTGGAAGGATAGACTAGAAAGTTTCTTTCTAGGTCATGATGTTGATCTATGAGATTTGGTCCTAGATGGTTACACACATCCAAAAGACAAAGACGGAAACAAGATTGACAGAAGGAACATGGATAAACAACAGAAGTTATATTTCAAGAATCACCACAGAGCCAGAAACATATTTCTGAACGCTATCTCTAAAACAAAATATGAGAAAATCACCAACAGAGATACCGCACATGACATGTTTAAGTCTCTCAAAATGACTCATGAAGGAAATGCTCAAGTAAAAGAGACAAAAGCTCTGGCTCTCATCCAGAAGTATGAAGCCTTCAAAATGGAAGAAAATGAGTCCATTGAAGCCATGTTCTCAAGATTTCAAACTCTGACAGCTGGTCTGAGAGTTCTGAACAAAGAATACACCAAGGCAGACCATGTTAATAAAATTATCATAATTTTACCCAGAAGATGGACACCTATGGTTACTGCATTCAAAGTGTCAAAAGATTTGAATGATGTATCCCTTGAAGAACTTATCAGTGCTTTAAGAAGTCACGAGATAGAACTTGATAAACATGAGCCTCAGAAGAAAGGTAAGTTTGTCGCCCTTAAATCTATTAAAAATGTGAAACTAACGCTTTTCAGGCAGAAGAAGGAAACTCTGAAGATTCTGCATCAGAAGAAGATGAGTTATCTCTGCTCTTCAGAAGGATCAACCAGATGTGGAAGTACAAACAAAAGAAGTTCAGAAACTACAAGAGGTTAGAAGATAAACCAGAATCTTCTGGATATAAGAAGTCAAGCAGGAGAGATATAGTCTGCTATGAATGTAAAGAACCAGGACACTACAGAAGTGATTGTCCTACGCTGCAAAGAGAAACACCAAAGAAAAAGTTTGGAAGAAAGAAAGGCATGATGGTCACCTGGGATGATTCAGAATCTTCTGAAGCTGAATCTAACTCAGAAGATGAACACGCTAACCTAGCGTTTATGGCTACCACAGCAGATGACGATGACTCAGACTCTGATTCAGAACCGAAAGAGGTATTCTCTTAATTTTCTAGAACTGAACTTGCTGAAAGCTCATCTGAACTTCGTGAAAACTACAGTAAACTCAAAATCAAATACAAGAAACTCAAAAAGAATCTTGCATCTGATTTTGAGAAACTTGAAACAGAAAACTCTGAACTTAAATAGAAAACATTTTTAAACTCAAAGAGGAAGTTCAAAAATTTCAAAAGACTTCTATTTCAGATTCTGCTTCAAGTTCAAAAGATATTCTTAAAGAATATGACTCTAGTTTTCAAACATTTCTTGATAAAAGCATAGATAGAAGCAGAATGACTTCAATGATCTATGGGGTTAGTGGAAATAACAGAAGAGGTATTGGATATGAAACTCCCAAAGGGAAAGAAACATATAAACCTAAGCATGTTGAGGAAATGATTATCACATATAAACCACTACACAAACAATTTAGTTTTAGGCACACACATTGTTGTACCCCAAAATTTACCCTCCCATATTTCTCAAGACATTTCAAGAATAATCTCCAAAGTGGCTCAAGATGGTTCAAGAGTTGGACAGTCAAATCATCTCTTAAGGCAGTCAATCTCAAATTAGGGTTTTTTGTTGCATCAAGGTCCTTACATCCAAATGACCTCAAGTTCTACCCAATGTCCTAATATGTTCTCAAGTTTATCCATGTCAAATTTCAAGCCTTGCAGAGGAAGTTTGGTCAGTCAATTGCTCAAGAGGCCCAAAAATCAACTGTGCTAGGGCAAAAGTCAATTGTGGCCTACAAATAGTCAAACCTCAAGATTTGTTGTCAACATTATCATTTTGAAGGTTAATTCATCATTTGATCAAGGGTTGATCATGATTGCTCAAGATTCATCAAGATTCAAAAGTTGCTAAATTAGGGTTTTGTAGGAAAAGTCAACTCAACTTTGACCAAGCATAACTTTCTCATATTTTATGAGAAATGACCCATCCAAAGCTAATTTTGAAGAGGATGCAATTTCCTACAATCCATCTTCACACCCCAAGATCAATAAATACACTCACAAAAAGTTACAAATTTGGACATTATAGGTCATTTTTGAAAGTCAACAAAAACACCTTTTTTTCCAAAGCTTATAACTTGAGCATGGAATATCAAAATAATATGAGACCAAAAGGGTTGGTTATAGGACGTCTTAAGATTTCTAAAAAGTCCAAGAACACCTCCAAAGGTTCAAAATTGAAGAAGTTATACATTGTTGAAGTTGGGCATTTTTCCAAAATTGCCAAAAGTCAACTATCCCCAAAACTTCAAATTTTGTCAAATGGCCCCACTTTTTTTCACTTGATTTGATCTTGTCACACCACACACGTGTCCTATCTTCAGTTTTATGTCCATACAATAATTTTTTCCATTTTGTTTTGATTTTATTGAATTAATTCATTTTAAATCAATATTAATCCAAATAAAATCCAAAAATTGATGGAATAAGATCTTTTTGATTGATACAGCTTTCAATTATCATGATGGACACAATCAAATTCGTGCAAAGCCATATCATGCACAAAATATTAGATTTGGAAAGAAATTGGAAGCCTTTAATTGTGATTCATATCAAATCTTCAAATCATCAATGCTCATGGATTCAAAGCCCAATTCTTAACCTAATACATTGTTGGAGACTTGTACAAACTAGACACACAATACACAACCTGAAAGCTGCAGAATACACAATACCAAAACTGAAAAAAGCTTGAAAAAGTTGGAGATCGAAATCCATATTGGAGGCGTTTTCAAGGCCAAAACTCAACATAGACCTCTTGTTTTCCATCCACTGAAGCGATAGGAACCAAAACCAAGCCCTCTCGTCACCTGAATTGCGCTGTAAGTGTCCATGAACATGACCCTGTACATGAAATCGTGAATCCATATTCCTGCATCCTTTGAGCAAATTTTTTGTACAATCATGCTTAACGTTCAATTTCCAGTCTTTCTGCATCATTTGATTTTGTTTTCGTGAGCTATAACACCATACCCGAATCTAGGGTTTTGGAGGTTCGTTTTTGGGCATTTGCTTTGCAGGTAAAATTTGAACAAACCACGGACATGGTTGTATTCAGGGAGAAGAGACGAGTAAGATGATAGTCTCAAAATTCGTTTCCATCGCCTAGAGCTTGTTTTAGGATCGAGCCATGGATTTTGTCGCGGATTCAAATCCGCAGGAAAAAGAACATGTTTTGTTGAAGAAGACGAAGACGTGGCTCATCTTCATTGGCCTATTCAAATAAATCTCGCGCATTTTTTTTTAATTTCCAGTATATTGCTTGCTTTTCTCTTATAATATCATTTATCTATTATAATAACAAATAAGCATGTTAGTTGCGTTGGCAAGCGCGCTAGTGGAAAGCCCCATGGGACCTGGGTTCGAATCCCAGGTCCCCCAATATCTTTGTTTCATTTTTTTCCAGGTAATTGAGTGTGGTTCCCAAGGCGTAGCACACCATACTCCTCAAAGATCCAGGCGCCAGATGGCCTCCAGGCCAAATCTAAAGGTCAGGATTGAAGGCTCACCATACTCCCCAGTCAATGCATACGCGTGGAATAGAGAAAGTCAAAACAGGCTGGCTTGAATTGGACCAAACAAAATGCTATT